CTGCATTTTTTGCATCCATATAGAGGTACCAAAAGCGAACTTCACATTCTTATTTGACTTGCCACAGCCATTCCTCAGGTTGACAGATGCCTTTGCTCCGGGTCATTTGACTGATCATTTGCATTTCAGTTGACAGAAACACAGAACTACCATTAGCTTCATCTTTAAAGCCTCATAGATAACACATCTAGAGATTACCCATAGCTTCATGGCACAATAGCTTTAGCACAGTTTTCAGTCAATGGAGCATAGTAATCCAGATCGACAGCTATCGGAGGTCGGTGTGAAAGGGTTTATTTCAGAAATAGGACATAAACACAATACATACATAGCTTATAGTAAAGTGTGTCAGCAAAACGTGTGCTGAGAGGGCTTTAATGGTGCACTGAGCCGTGTGTAATCCTTCTTCTGTGCACAGATGGACAGACAAGGAGGCACACATCCCTTAGAAATCCCACTCAGTATTCACAGGTCATGCAGCAAAATGGAAGATAATAGAAAGCCTAACAAAAAACCTACAGCTCTTTTGTGTGATAGTGTTGCCATAACATGAAACAAGACAATATATCTCAGCTATGTGACAACTCCGAAAGCTCCCGTGAGCTAAACTTGATTCTGATTCTGGATATCTCTCCTCTGTTGGAATAAAATGCATTGAACAACATGTAAACAGTAGGAGCAAAGGCCTGCTGCCAACACCTTATTTCATGTCAATACTCTCCCTGTTGCGGTGAGAGATAAGATAGCTAAACCGGCTAGATATTGTTAGCAAGCTCTTGGCTAATTTAGCTATTCCGTTTAGCATCTAAAGGCAACTCAAAAGAGGATAGAGACAATCCAATTATCCTCATTATGAAGTAGAAGACAGCTAGCGTTAAAGAAAGTGAGCCAGGTTAGCTTAAGCAGGCTAAGCTAGTTCCTGTGACAACCAGAAACATTAACTAGCAATACACAGATTTTAAAATATATTCACCAACATATTACCCCGCTAAGAAATAATAAAATAAATCCATTAATAATGTTGATTGTTTTAGGATCTTACCTTGATTGTATGACCCGCTACCGTCAGTGAAATGTGACAACTCCCAAAGCTCCCGTGAGCTAATCTGCTAGCTTAGCTGCAGCAACCCCCCGTCACGGATGTAGACAGAGGAGTGAGTGCAGGAGGCGGGGCTCCGTCATCAGGAGCCCGCCTTCAGCGAGCTGTCTGTCAAAACTGACCTGGCAACCATAGGTGTCATTTAATTATATAATTTATGTATTTATTTAAACAAGGACCATGCATACAAATACATTAATCTCAGAAAAGAAAAGAGATGACTTATGCATTAAAAAAAAGAGGTAGTTCTGAACTTCTGTATTGAATTGAATTGGGAGGGATGTCCGGTGCCTTGCTCAAGGGTACCACGGCAGGGCAGGAGGTGAACTGGGACCTCTCCAAGTAGCAGTCCACACTCCATATTTAGGTCTGGTCGGGGACATGAACCGGCGCCCCTACGGCTCACAGTCCAAGCCCCTGCTGACTGAGCCACAAATCTCTTTGTGTGAAAGTATCTGCATGTTCTCAGGAACATGGGATGTATGTGCTAGTACTCTGCTTAAGTACAATGTTCAGGCATTTCTATTAATCACTTATATATTGTTACTTATATGCAGTGGTGTAAAGTAACTAAGTCAATTCACTCAAGCTCTGTATTTTGAGGTAGGCCTACTTGCTTTACTTAAGTATTTCAATGTTGTGCTACTTTGTACTTCTACCCCACTATAATTCAGAGGTAAATATTGTACTTTTACTCCACTACATTTATGTAATAGCCTACATTGAGTTTGTGGATAAACAATCTAATCAAGTGTTAAATCAGACTTTAGTTCCACCTGGAGTAAATTCACAAGCTACCCTGCAGTATACAAAGTCATTCAAACTAGCTGCACCCTTACCAGCTTTGAGAACACTTTAATGATCAATCATTATAAAACATATATTATTCTGAAATGGACCAATCTGCACAATGACTACTTTTACTTTTGGTACTTTAACTTTATTTGATGCTGATGCTTTTCTACTTTTACTTGAGTAACATTTTGAATGCAGGACTTTGACTTGTAACACAGTATTCCTAGACTGGTACTTCTACTTTTACTCAAGTACAAGATCTGAGTACTTTTTCCACCTCTGCTTATATATTATGTGTTTTATGTTGGCAGCAGACTGGCCATGGTGCTAAAGCAAACTGAATAACTACCTATGTTATATTTACGTAAAGCACATTGGTTGAAGCTGAGTAACAAAAACAGATTGGAGAGTTTGACATTTAGGGTGCGATTAGCCGAAACAAATATGTGCAACGCATATAATACACTCCAGACTTGATTTAAAATCAGTTAAAAGACAAGTTAGAGCAACAAGAGATATTATTAATTTTGTATTCAATAACATATGATCATCATATATACAGTATTTTGTATACAAAAAAGTTCACATCGTGGTAGACATACAAAGTTATACAAAATTACATCAAAGAAACAAATAAAACATAATAAATAAATAAAAATACAGTTTCATACTTCAGATTAAATATTTGTTAAATACACACTTAGTTGTGATTGCCTTTTTTATTCATAACGTTTTTATTAGTGCTACTATATTGTTTTAATTATTGGTAAAACAAATTGTAATTGTATTGATATCTCTTAAAAATAGTCACAGAAAACTGATATCACATTGCATACAGCTACCAGTGAAATACATACAAATAATCATTAAAAAGGGTGGTGAGCATATAACCATTTGATTTTTGATCGGGAAAAGTGTCCCGACCACTTTCAAGACAAAGTGACACCCATGCTGGCAACCACCAGAGGGCAGCAGAGTTCAAGTAATACATATAGCATGCATGATGAATCTAAAGAGAAGACGAAGGAAGGGTTATTATGTTGATCGAACAATACACATCATCTGTGTTCCCTGCACCACAACACAGAGCAGGGGCTGACACAGAATCAATTTGGGCACTGCACACAGAGCTTCTCGCAGTGGTGGAATGTAACGTTATTTACTCAAGGAATGTACTTGAGTATAATTTTGGGGTACTTGTACTTTACTTGAGTATTTTCCTTTTCTGTTACTTTGTACTTCTACTTCACTAAGTTTCAGAACGAAATGTTGTACTTGTATTGCCTTCTTTATTTGGCACCTTTAGTTACTTTTTCACCTATACAAGTTATGATATATATTTACTAAGAATTCTCTCAATGCTTTCCAAATAATTGCTCCATATTGACATATTTATATAATAACCCAACACATTTATAAGAGGCATTCTGCATAAGTGTTTTTACTTTTGATAATTGAGTATACATTTAGCTGATAACATTTCTGTAATTTTACTTAAATCATATTTTCAACTCTTACTAATTGAGTATTTGAAGACTGTGGCATTAGTACTTTTACTTAAGTAGAGTACTTTTTTCACCACTGGCTTTTGGTAACAGATGGAACATTCTCTCAGTGAATTGGATTGTGACCTCTCCATGTATTTCTTGTATGTGGGAATGCTATGGAAATGTTTAATCAAAGGCCAAGTTGTTAGCATAAATGCATCCCCAGGTGGCAGGAATACTGATACCAAACATCAAGTTAATCAGGACAGTTGTTGTTGAAATATTTTGCAGTGACTAACTAACCAGTGTCAGCACATTTCCAATTAACCATAAGTCAATAGTACAATCACTGTTGTCTTTATCCAGATGTCACAAATTAAAAAACTAATCAGGTGGCTTTACAATGTGTTCAGTATATGACACCTTTGTCCTCAGACATTACATCTAGGGGTTCCTTCAAAGCTTGTATAGCTCCTTAGCTCTGGGGCAGTTACTGACCTGGACCCTGATTTATTTCACATAGAAGTGAAGTTCAAAATAATGATTTATGTTGCATACATGGTGAACAACAAGGAGAGCTGTGAAAAACAGGAACCTATTTAGGTTTTTTCTATAGTTTTGAATAGAAAATAGAACACATGCTATTCTTAAAAAAAAAGTTAAAGAGAAATATTAGGAACACATTTTTGGATGGAGAGAACTGCATCTGGGAATTAGACATTACATTACATGTAACTTGTTAGATGCTTTTATCCAAAGCAACTTCCATACATTCAGCACTAGGCAGTCCCCACAGGAGCAGCTTGGGTGAAGTGTTCCCAGGGACACAACGACATGCTGACTGCAGTGGGACTCAAACTTGCTGATCAGAAGATCGGTGCACTATCCCACTGAGCCACAGCCTCCAAATAAATAGAGTGGGTTTTTGTACATTATACTTAAAAACACAAATACAGGGGTGGAAAGTAATTAAGTACATAATACTCAGGAACTGTACTTAAGTACAAACAAAGTGGGTACTTGTACTTGTATGTTCACATTATACTACTTGTATTTTTACTCCACTACAATTGGTTGGCACTACATTTACTCTACTTGATTAGTTACTTGTTACTTTGCAGATTTAGGTTATTAATAACAAATAATAAATCAGCTAACTATATTATATATACTTATATAGTATTGCTGCTTTTACTTTAGTAAATAATCCGAGTATGTATTTCACCTCTGCAAAAATACAACTATTGCTTAGTTACAACACTGCTACAGCTTCTACCAATAATAGAACATATAATAATTAATAATTTGAATACAATTGTGATAAGAGATACTTATAGTTGACTTAAAAAAAACATATAGCCTACTGTTGAAGTTAAAAATAGGAAGTGGAAGGACAGGGATTGGAGGAGTATAGGAAGAGGAAGCGCAGGAGGAAGAGATGGGAAAAGGAGGACGAGAGAAGAAGTGAGAGGAGGAGTCTGTTTGTTGACATCGGACGAAAACGAAAATCAGATGAGTGAAGACTGATGAAAAAAACTTCATTTCTCGCCGTCATCAAGACATATAGCCTTGGCAAAAGCTAAGGTAAAGCACCGCCTGATGGGCTGCCACTCAGTCACCTGTGACCGCTGTCTGTTCACTGTGGTTCCACACATAGCTCGTAGCTAGCGCTGGTCCCACTAGCTATGTTAGCTAACACCATAGCAGGGAAAGTCACCGTTAGCCACAAGCTAATTCTGACGCTGAGATGCACTGCTGACACCGTATCGGCAAGTTGAGGCTTAACTTGGAAAACACATGTTTGTCTCTTTGATATTTGTGTAGGTATGATTGAATAGGTTTATAGTTTGTATGTGTTATTCAGTAGCTATCTAGCGGCAGTGTTGTTAAAGTAAAACTGACAGTGTAGCTAGCTAGAAAGCTAGCTAACTGTAGTCTGCCGTGTCTCCCAGGGTTTACTGCTGTGTGCTGAACTAACAGACCTGTAGTACTAACTTCGAGACAGGACAACTTCACTCACTAACTTCCTTTTGTCAGCAGGACATTCAGCTTGGTATAGATAAGTAAGGATAATTGTGTTTGTAACGTTAATGTTGAAACAAGTTGTTAAAAAGAACGCAACATTGGTGGCAAGCAGTATCAGCAGTGGTCTAAAGTAAGTACATGTATTCAAGTATTGTACTTGTGAGGTACTTGTACTTTAATTGAGTATTTCCATGTTATGATACTTTGTAATTCTACTTCACTACAATTCAGAGGTAAACATTGTACTTTTACTCCACTACATTTATTTAATACCTTTAGTTACTTTGCATATATGGATTAAGGATCCAAACATGATCAACACTTACATCAGACTTTAGTTCCACCTGGAGTATTATTCACAAGCTACCCAGCAATACATACAGTAGTTAGTTCATCAATGATTATAATGACAACATATATATATGATTCTGAAATGGGTAAATCTGCATAGCGATTACTTTGGGTTACCTGGTACTTTTGGTACTTTAGGTATATGTTGATGCTTATACTCTTTGACTTTTACTTGAGTAACAACTGCTTGTTGATTGCAGGACTTTAACTTGTAACAGAGTATTCCTACACTCGGGTACTTCTATTTTTACTTAGGAAAAAAAATATCTGAAGAACTTCCACCTCTTCAAACTAGTAGCACTAACATAAAGACATGACAACTTAAGTTACTATTTTCATTTGTTAGGAGTCATTCAGCTTGATATAAATAAGTTAGGATAATTGTATTTGTAAAGTTCATGTTGAAACAAGTTGTTAAAAAGAACACAACATTGGTTGCAAGCAGTATCAGCCGATACGCATGACGACTAGCTCTCTAAAGAATGGACAAATCGGAGATTATGTCTTCAATTCCATTTTTCACACATGGAAAATATAGTAAGGGTTTTTTGTAACATCATTGACCTATAATGTGTTGTTTATGACCAGGGGTGGAAGAAGTATTCAGAATCTTTACTTCAGTCAAAGTACTGATACATTATTGTCAAAATACTTCATTACAAGTAAAAGTCCTGCATTCAAAATCTTAATTAAAGTGGACCTATCATGCTATATTTGAATAATATAGTGTAGGACCATACCTATATAAGGCATATTTATACTTTTTTTTTTTCAAAATACCAAACAGATCATGCATTTTAGCCATGCCTCATTTTGCTCAATTTGCACTTTTTTAGCTCTGTTTTTGCAAGGGCTGATTCAGTGAGAACAGCACCATCTACAGGCCTGGCATATGTACTACAGCGTCTCCAGCGCTTTCAAACGGCAATGGCCGTGGCTGTCTCCTCCTGATTGGTGGAGTTGGCCCAATAGCCGTAGCGCCACCGTCCTGATGTCAGGACAGTGTTCAAATCTGGATCAGTTTTTATCAGATCCGTTGCAGCCCCTTTTTTAGAGATTTGGGTATGGAGGAAAATAGAGAGGGTTGTGAGTTCCCTGGAACACCGGGGACACATATTCATGTATAAAAGACGTACAAAAGTGCATTTTGCATGATAGGTCCCCTTTAAGTAAACGTACAAAAGTATTATCAGCAACATGTACTTAAATTACAAAAAGTAATCATTGTGCAGAAAAATTGCCTTTTGGTGTGTATATTATATTTACGCATGTGATATTTTCTAGATAATATTGTTGCATCAAGTAGCATTTAACTCGTGGACAAACACAATTCTGACTGACTTTTTTAGCAAAATATTTGACTCTTGTGTTTAATATATATATATATAATTTTTTAGAGATGCATTTTGTTAAAAGTAGTCCAAGCAGTTAAATAAATGTAGTGGAGTAGAAGTATAAAGTAGCATATCATGGAAATACTCAAGTAAAGTATGTACCTCAAAATGGTACTTAAGTACAGTACTTGAGTAAATGTACTTACTTCCCTCCTCTGTCTATGACTTGGATGTTTCGACTAATATTTGGAATGAATGTCATGACTTTGTTCGCTAAGTCTCTGACTCAGTGTATATGATTTGAATCCGTTTATTTCTTTGGTAGTCAAATGGTCAAAGGGAAACTTTTTGTTGCTGATTTCCACCAGAAGCAAGCTCCTGTGAAAAGACATGTCCTAACTTTGTTCGATGAATGTCTCCTCAGGTCCCCTGCACTGCCCTGTCTTTAATCTGAGCCGGAGACAAAGAGGCTAACATGGCAGCAAAAGCAGGAGACAACCCTGACAGCCTCATGACTCTGGCAACCATCTTCTGCCTGAGGAACCTTAGGAAGACCATGTGCTACCAGGGATTCAGGAACAAGCTCTGTCTGCGCTCGGACATCTTCCTTCCCAGCGAGATCTGCGACAAGTTGGTCAACACGTACGTCACATGATACATCTGCAATCATTCCATTCATCTACATTTCCATTCTCTCAAAATGCCTCATCATCACAATATTACATATTCCATGTTTTTTTTGTTTTTTTTACAGATACATGGAGTTGGTCCACACAGATAGTAACTTTGAACCAGAGGAAAGCTTCTTCCAACTGTTCTCAGACCCTTGCAGCACCAGACTGACCAGGGTACAGCTGAGAGAAGACTTCGTACGGGACAGAGATCTGGAGGCCATTCAAAAACAGGTGGGGTTTTTCAGAAAACTGTGATTGAATCTCTCATCATCCAGTCCACCTCTGTGAAACAGCTCGACTAGTAAACTTAGATAATGGAAGTACCTGTAGCCATTCACCTTTTTGCTCACTTTAGGCCTCAGTCGTGATTTCGTAGGCATCATCGTTTACACAGACACAGCATATCCTGCGCTAAGTGGTCTAAACTCTTTCTGTATATTTTGGTTAGAATCATACACTCTTATTTTGTCTATGGTTTTAATTTGTCTGCTTGTATAATGTCAGACAGAATGTGGCACCTCTTCTTCAGAGGTGAAAAAACTTGAAATAATAAGACAACAGTGTGAAAAATACAGCTAAACAGTTCACTCACAACTTAAAACAACAGCATTGCTGTTAACAAAGAAGAAATCCCATTACAGCTACTAAATAACTACATTACTTTACATTAGTTTCATTTCTTTTTTGAGCCAATAGACACATCTGTTATGTTTAATTTTCTTTTTTGAGATACATTGCATTGTAAGTAAAACTGGGGCTCCTATCCCTCTTTTCATAACAACCAAGAGCTCAATAACCCAGTGTAAGAGCCATCTTAATGAAAGGTCATGCTTGGTTTGAAGCTGTCACAATGATGTCTTATTTAATGTGTGTGCCAAAGGGTGTTGCTGTCCTATTACCGAGAGTACAGGTATTAATGCTGTGTCATGTCACATATTTGGGTGTGTCGGACCTAGGGATGGGTATCGTTTGAAATTTATCGATTCCGATTCCCCGTTTCGATTCCAAAATTGTAAAAGAAAGAGGTCATACGTTTAGATAACAAAAATATCTTTATTCTTTTAAGCTTTAACTGACATTTTTACAAATAAAAAATATACATGCAATACAAATGTATTACACAATAGCTGTGCTTTATTTGAACTGAGCTATGCCTGTGGCAAGCTATTAACAGGCATTACACTGTGCCTTGTCTTTTTCTTTATTAGTGTAGTGGAGCCTCACTTTAGAGCGTTTACCGCGACCCATCTTTGGTGTTATGAAGTGACTGAGCTCGTGAGCTGTCTACGGGAGGGCGGGGGGAGCCTCGCTGCGGGGCAACTGTGGACCTCTGTCGCCTGTCAGCGCAACTTACATGATGCCGTTTAAAAAAATTAAGGGCGGTGCCGGCCGTCAGCGAACCGAGCCGGCCGTCAACGGCCCTCTGACGACCGGCCGCTCTGTGATTCTCCAGAACACACAGATGGCCAGTCCGCCCTTACCCTGTATTCCACCGGGGCGCCGCGGCGCAGACGGACCCGGTGGAATACAGGTTCTACTGCGTTTAGGAACCGTTAAGCAGAACCGAAATTGTGTATTTTGTATGGGTACCCGGTACCCGGCATTTTCTTATCGGTTCTCATCTGGAACCGAGTTTTGGTTCCCAACCCTAGTCTGACCCCAGAAGGGCATAGGGTTTTTGACCGCCCTAGCACGAGTGTGTAAGTCCCCCAATGATAGTTTGTTCAGGCAATGAATAAAATCTGAATGGATGTGGACTTTATTATGCACTGAGACCATAGATGGATTGTATTATGCTGCACCTGATAACGAGCCCACCAATTCTTAATTGAAGCAACAAACAAACTTATCCACACAGTATAGCGCATCAGCAAGGTCATTCCTGGGACTTAGAACACCACAGAGTAGCTTTAGTATTATGCTAAAGCTCCTATACCCAGTCCTTGATGAGTGCAGCATATTTAGGTCAGTATGGTTTTTAAATGATTCAGTGATCAGTCATTTGTCGTATATGTGTTCCAACAGGACCTGATTGAGCTCCACCTCACCTACTGCAACAGTCTGTCCTCCCGCAGCCTGAAGTCCCTGATCAGCTTCCGTGAGACCTTGGTGTCTCTGTGTCTCTTCGGCTGCAACCACATCTTCTACAGGAAGGGCGGTGCCCCACTCGCATGCAACGAAGACACTGAGGATGAGGAGGAGGAGAGCCCTGCTTCCAGGCAAGCTTTAGAGACAGACTTTAACTTCCAGGGCTTCAACCGCCTCAGGCTGCTCAACTTAGGCGGCCTGCCAGACGAGGTGGATGCTGAGACGCTGCTCAAACCCCTGAAGTCGCTCACCTCACTAGATCTGTCTAATGTACAGTTGCTGGGAACAGCTTTTCTCACCCAGTGGAAAGACAGACTTGCGTCTCTTGTGCTCTACAACGTTGACCTGTCAGAGGAGCTGGTCAGTACCATTGTGGAGATGGTAAATCTCAGGTAAGGTGGGAGGGGGCTTTAATGTACACTTTGTTATTATGATCTCAACATACCCTGGTATTGCATTTTAAATATTGCCAGTTGATCATGTCTGCTCTGTATTTAAATGACAAACGACAACACAGATTGTTCTGCTGTGCTGGTGGAATTTGAGTTGTAATCAAATGAGCCACTGGCCTGAAGTTGTATCATGTATGGACCTACTAAGGACCTTCAGTCCTTTAGATGTGCTTAACACCCAAACCTTATCGGTTACTTATTACTAAAGGACAATACCTACGTTTTGCAGATTGACAAATTGAAAGAAAACGTTACTTTTCTGGAGCTCTCCACTCAGCACCACAGCACTAGGTTATATTAATATTTTTCAGTTGAAATATATGTTCTAGCAGAAAAGAGTTTACAAGTTTACAAATAACCCATTCACTCACTGTCACAGGTTTCTCTCCAACTTCAGAAGCATTACAAATGTCCTCTGCACGCCATAACTTCCCCTATCCAAGTAGCCTTGTCTTTCGCACCAAACATCGATAAAAAAATCCTGGCTTCCGGCATTTATAAAAATGTGGCTTTGCTCGTTTCTTATGAGGAAGTGAATGCCCTCATAAAGGTTACAGTTAATGACATTTTTGTGAGAATATCTATACATTGAAATGATGCGGTTTGAGTCAGAATGTGCTGTGCCCTCAGCTTTACAGAGAGTTTCAGCTCAGTGTTCAGCTGTTATTTTTTATTTTATTTTATTAAAACTTTAAATAACTAGGTTAATGTATTGCTTGGGATGTTTTTAATTTGGGCGTAAGATTTGTGCTCCCATTACATATTATACAAAATCTGAATTCTAGCATTTATAACTTTCAAAACTAATTTAACTATAATGAAAATGTCCCCATTCATTTGGTGTTACCTTTAGGTGGCCTATATTCATTTTTACATTACATGTCATTACATTACATTTGTTAGACGCTTTTATCCAAAGCGACTTACATACATTCAGTTCTGTGGACAATCCCCACAGGAGCAATTTGGGGTGAAGTGTCTTGCCCAGGGACACAACGACATGCTGACTGCAGTGGGACTCGAACTTGCTATCCCCTGATTCGAAGTCCAGCACATCCATCTATCCACTGAGCCACAGCCTCCCCTAATAGAATAGAAATAGAATGTGTCACTGACAGTGCTAAAACTCTTCATCCTTCAGGCATCTTGACATCTCCCGGGAGAGCAGGCGCACCTCTAAGTTTAAGATGAGCAGGAAGATCCTGACGGCCATCGTACAGCGCCTGGTCAACCTGGTGTCTCTGGACATCTCCGGGCACATAATGCTCGACAACTGCACAGTCCCACACATCGAGGAAGCTATGGGGCGGCCGAGGTGGGAGACCAACGCTAGAGTGTACATTGGATATGAACATTTGTTATTTATTGTTTTTAATTTATTTGACTTGCCAATGAACCTTTTTACCAGTCATGATTTTCTTTCTTTCAGCATCGAGCCGTGCAAGAGCAGCATTTATCCTTTCCAGGAGCTGAAGAGGCCGCTGCAGTTCCTGGGCCTGTACGACACCACCCTCTGTAATGTGACACACATCCCTGCTTATAAGGTACTGCTTATCTGAAGGGCCCCACACGCATAACACTTTGTGGCTAATAATAGTTATGAAGATAATAGTTAGAGCATCCAGGGATTGAAATGTAATATGAAATCTCAGGGACGTTGTTTCATTGCCGGCTTTGGGAGTGTGGGGAAGGTAGAGAGTTTTGGTGCCTGCTGACAATATGATATATAATATAAAACTACCTTTTCACCCTTAGTTGTTTATATTGGGAGTTTCCCCTACTAATTCACATACAAAAAAAGCTTGAATTGATATGTGCCTCCTCCATGCAAAGCGCCTCATAGCTGTTTCCTGGTGGCGCCTGGGCCAGTGGCTCAGGGAGATGTCCTCCTGCCTCTCTTTAGAGAACACTGGTTATACTCTTAAAGGAAAGAGGCCTCTACATTTATTTGGGAACGTTTTATGCATTTTTTTTAGAATTAAGGATATGTCTAAAACAGAGAGAAAGAGTAACCTTTTTTTATTATTTTATTTGTATTTATATATATTTTTCTATATTTTTTATTTAAGAAGTACAGTAAAATAAAGAAGTACATCTTTACTTTACTGTACTTTGCTTTAAGTGCTATCATGTCACAAAGTACTATATGTCTTTGGTAGTTAATTATCTAATTTAGCAGTGATGTAATGTACGTTTTTCTTCTTTTAGTCATTGTTTTTGGGGTTGCTGTTTTTCTGTGATCTTGTAAATGTGGGAACAAATTCATAAAGTGAAATCTTATAAACAGGTCATGAGCACATACTAATTATGCTTATAAACCGGCTTGCTGTGTGGTTAACATCTGTGTGTTGCTGCCCTTTTCCAGGTGACCGGATCAAAGAATGAAGAGCAGGTTCTGAATGCCATAGAGGCGTACACAGAGTTTCGTCCTGAGCTGGCCCACAGAGCCATCAATCAGCTGTTTGACATCGCCAGGATACAGCACTGCAGCCAACTGCTCCGAGCTCTGCAGGTAAGATACAGAAAGGTTGCCTTGTTCTTTGAATGATGGGACACCAGTGACTTCAAAGGAAATATGTGTTCCATGACCTTGCATGTTAACATAAGATATACTTTATTGATCCCAAATTGGGATTATTTAAAAAAAAAAAAAAAAAAAAAAATGTTATGCTTGTCCAACCCTCACTCTTAAATCTCTTCTCTAAACGTGCTGTCCTTTTAGCTGGTCATAGCAGCGTTGAAGTGCCACAAATACGATAAGAGCATCCAGGTGACGGGCAGCGCCGCTCTGTTCTACCTGACCAACACGGAGTACCGCAGTGACCAGAGCGTGAGGCTGCGCAGAGAGGTCATCCAGGTGGTGCTGAACGGAATGGAGCAGTACCAGGAGGTCACCGTAAGTCCGCCCCGTCTCCCATAAAATCAGCCCAACCTAAAGTTTATCTGGCAAATTGAAATACATTTTCTAAAGGTGAATTTCATATATGATATTTAGATACTACAACACCTTTTACTTTTCTGAATTTCTATAGAAAAGTGAATGATCCGAAGTATGGAGCAATGAACAAAGTGTGTAACAAGTATTAAAACTATGCCATGCTCATTCACATGAAAACTTGATATCTCAGAACATTTTGGAGGGAATTGCTTGTTCTGTGGATTTAACCTTTTTGGCCCCAAACAAAAAAAAGCTTTTTCCAAATGTTGACAATTTCACAATAGTGTCCTATAGGTTAAAATATTGAAGTGTTGCCATATTGGACAGACACGTTTTCATTATATGCAGCAGAATTAAAGCACTTTCATAGAGATATCAGATTAAATCTGGTAATCTTTTATAACTACCTTATGTTGCTCTTCAGAGTTCTCAGATGGATCGGTAACCCTCACTGTTTCCCCACCCTGTCCCTCACAGGTCCAGAGGAACTGCTGCCTGACTCTGTGTAACTTCAGTATTCCAGAGGAGCTGGAGTTCCAGTACAGTCGGGTCAACCAGCTGCTGCTGAAGATCCTGGAGCCAGCCCGGCAGGACGAGTCCATCCAGAGAATCGCTGTGCACCTCTGCAACGCTCTGGTCTGTCAGGTGGACAACCACCACAAGGAAGCTGTGGGGAAGATGGGCTTTGTCAAGGTAACATCAGGAGGATCTCTTCTCGTTTAGCTTTCCCATATTTCGGACAAATTACAAACAATTACAACAGTTATCAAACTGAAATTATCTTTGTCTATTGTCGTGAAATTAGATATTCTGGTATAAAAGGGTCATATATTACGTAGGGCTGTCAAGTTAACGCGTTAATAACGCGTTAACGCAAAAAAAAATTAACGCCACTAATTATTTTAACGCGATTAACGCATGTGTATTTTTTGTCCTCGCCGCCCCGTAGTTTCAGAGCGCATCGAGTTTAAAATACCATTTACAAGCTGATGCTGACAGCCCCGCTCCTGCCGTGGCAGACCACACTTCCATGCTCACCGGCAGGCCCGGACTGGCCATCGGGAGGACCGGGAGGGTGTGTGTGTGTGTGTGTGTATGTGTGGCGCGACTCGCGCGAGCGAGGCACACCTTACGTGTTGTTGTTAGCATCTGGTGCTAGCTAGCTGCGCTAACGGATATAAGGAGCTGTTTCAATGACATTTCGCCGACAACTGCGCCGAGCACTTGACTTTATGCAGGTAGCCAGACAGTGGGACATTGTATGAAAAGTCAGCGCACTCAGCACGGATAGTACGCGCTACATGATTGCAGCGTCCAGGCAGCACACGTTCGAGCATATATGCCTTGAGCGGCACATAGCTCCAACGATCCATCACAGTGTCTCCACATTCACACACACACACACACACACACACACACACACACACACACACACACACAGTATTATTGTATGAGAGAGGTTCCAGGTTGAATTGAGGCGAATATTTGTAATGTTCAGAGGTTGTTGTGTTTAATATTCATGAGAATATTTGTCATTGTTCAAATGATAATAAACAAACATATAAAGCATATTTGTCCACTCATATGTTGATAAGAGTATTAAAAACTTGAAAAATATCCCTCTAAGGTACATTTAGAACAGATAAAAAACGTGCGATTAATTTGCGATTAATCGCGATTAAATATTTGAATCGACTGACAGCCCTAATTACTAGTCCTCTTCATTTTGACAGATTTTTTTCAAAACCTGCAAAATTCTGATTATTTTTGTAAGCCTTTTTTTGTATTCTCCGTGGGGAAAATCATCCTCTGTATTTGACCCATCTTAACCCTTAAGAAGGTAAACTGCCCTAACGTGCAATGTGTTCACTAAGGTGGTGCAGTGGTATAAGTGTGTTTTGAATGTAGAGGATTCAAAAGAGACAGAAATGTGCAGAATAACTCATCAGAATTGATCTTCCTGGCTCTGATTTTGCAGCCATGCTTCTGCTTTTGCAGGATCTAATGCAACGTAATCTGCCATAAACTATGCTGGCAATCACTATTCCTATTTCTAATACTCTGTGAGAGTGATGAGTGAGCCGACCTAGATCTGTAGGGGTGTTGAGCTCACTAGAAATTTACACCAGGCCGAGCAGGCGGGTCAAAAATGTACAAAGCACAGTTTATCAATAACTTACAAAAAAATGGTATGCAAAGGTCCACCTTCCACCTTTCCTTCCCCTTTCTTTGTCTCAAATCCATATTTTCGCAGGTCAGGCGTTGATGAATTGCTCTCAATGCAAATGTATAACCACTGTAACACAACTGGGTAGGATTGAACAAATTGAACGGTTTACTTCACATGCATTCAACCAAAGGAGACCAATATAGATAGAGTAGGCCTTTTTTTCAAAAGCTTTCTATTAGTTATCTTAAAGCTGTGTGCACTAGCAATATCCATGTTTTTTTTTAATGAGAAATAACATATTTTTCTAAAGTTTGTCATGACACTAAGGCTTCGGAGTAAGACCTGAAGAAAGTTAAAGTTGTTATTTTTGTCCTTTCTCCATCTCCTCATTCACAGACAATGTTGAATTTAATTCAGAAGAAGCTACAGGACAGAACGGTGAGTCTGAGTTTCACTTTGGATCTTTTGAACTTTAAATGTATTGTTTTATAGACACTTGTTATAACCATCACACACCTTTATCAAATTGTTGCCATCAAATGCAGGGGATTGTTAATAATCTGTAATGTTGGTTTTCCCTCAGTGTGACCAGGTGATGGAGTTTTCCTGGAGCGCTCTGTGGAACATCACTGATGAGACGCCTGACAACTGTCAGATGTTCCTTAACTGTCGGGGCATGAGTCTCTTCCTGGAGTGTCTTCAGGTGAGTTCACGCAGCACCTGTTTCTCTTCCTAACTTCCAGAGGTCACTACTGCCTTCAGGATTTATTCCATACATGTTATATCTTGTGTGTGTACCTGATAAAACATTGTGCTTTTGGACTATTAGGGCAATAATCTCTGTAATAACACACACCTCTCCCCTCATTATATGATCTTACTACAGGAGTTTCCAGACAAGCAGGAGCTGCACCGCAACATGTTGGGGCTTCTGGGAAATGTTGCTGAGGTGAAAGCACTGAGACCCCAGCTGCTCACCCCCCAGTTCATCACTGTGTTCAGGTAAGAGAACTCAACCAGGTGAGAGTGTACCTCTTATAAATAAAACATTTACAACCTATAGGAAGTACACTCATTTCTTTAAAATATATATATTTCATAGTGACATTCAGTATCAAACACAATTTTCATACAGAATAAAGCTCAGAAGGCACAGACAAACTAATAAACTAACTGAATGAAGTCATTCAGGGTAAATGTTTGTCTGAGGGTACGTTTTTTACAGACCTCATCAGATACGTGTTGTTTGTATCAGTCCCCCTCACTGTGTGATGCTCTGACAGTAACCTGCTGGACAGTAAGGCGGATGGGATCGAGGTGTCCTACAATGCCTGCGGCGTGCTCTCACACATCATGTTTGACGGCCCGGCCGTTTGGTCCATGGAGGATCCGCGCAGAGACTCAGTGATGGACAAGATGATGGACGCCATCCAGAGCTGGGACGTCAGCTCACGCCGCAACATCAACTACAGGTGATCTTCTGTTTATTTACTGTGACAATGCATCATGTTATGGGCAGTTCTTGCTTCATCAGCAGTTTCACCGTAGTATGAATACTGTGGCACCTCTGAAATTCAGGTTGGAAGCGTAGCAGTAGGTCAAAAAAGACTCACAGAGATTTCTTTAAATTTGTATTTTACCAGAGGTGGGAGGGTTACTTTCAAAATGTATTCAGTTGCCATGACTAATTACATGTCATCAGGGTTGGGAGGGTTACTTTGTAAATGTAATCAGTTACTGATTACTGAATACATGGCTCTGAAAGTAATCCGAATACAGTTACAGTTACGTGTCTTAAAAAAGTAACGTATTCAGATTACTTTTGGATTACTTTCTTTTTCCATCACTTATTTATTTATTTTCGAGATAGTTACTGGTGCGCCAAGGAGGAAGTGAAGTGGAGCACACAGGAGACAACCATTTCATTGCAGACTGTTGTGTTTTTGTGGGGAAATTACAGTGCATACATTATTTGAGATATATTTCGAACTCGGACTTCATTTTAAGGACATTTCGGCCAGGGGTGTAGAGCTATATTTGTTTAAGCACCGGATTGGCAAAACAGGAGAGTCTGTAAACCAGTCTGCCTTGATCTATGAATTCATGTCCGGGACTCTCACAGTATCTGCTGCCCACAGCTGTTTTATAGAAGGAAAACCTCCTTCACTTCATGAAATGGCTGCAGCACAAGGAGGCAGCGGGAGGGTTAACTCAGCCTCTGAGAAGAGGAGCGCGCAGTGCCTTTCACGCACCGCCTTTCACGCAACGCCTTCACTGTTTAGCTTCAGAATCATTAGAAAGGCTAACGAGCGTTTTAACCACACACACCCCTAGACACACGAACTGCCCGATTATTCCCCCTTATTTTTGTTTTATAAAGGAGAGTGTGTGTGTGTGTGTGTGTGTGTGTGTGTGTGTGTGTGTGTGTGTGTGTGTGTGTGTGTGTGTGTGTGTGTGTGTGTGTGTGTGTGTGTGTGTGTGTGTGTGTGTGTGTGGTGTGTGTGTGTGTGTGTGTGTGTGTGTGTGTGTGTGTGTGTGTGTGTGTGTGTGTGTGTGTGTGTGTGTGTGATGTGTGTGTGTGTGTGTGTGTGTGTTGTGTGTGTGTGTGTGTGTGTGTGTTTGTGTGTGTGTGTGTTGTGTGTGTGTGTGTGTGTGTGTGTGGTGTGTGTGTGTGTGTGTGTGTGTGTGTGTGTGTGTGTGTGTGTGTGTGTGTGTGTGTGGTGACTTTGTCGGGATAACGGACTTCATATAGTGTCAACAATAAAGAGAGCAAATAAAAGCAAACGTTGACTTACCTCAAAGTGCTTTTTAAGATTAGACGTGGAGTCCTTTGATGCAGACAGTGGGTGTTTCTCAATGTCGAGTAAAGCTGCTTCAGAGCCACTATTTCAAGCATACTACGTCATCGAGTGCCGCCGAAGTACTGTTCCAATCTCCAGCATACTTGGAAATCTACCGAGCCCGGCGTACTCCGTTTGGAGAAATATCGAGGCTGCACATGAGTAGACTCCGCGGTCTTAAAATCCCCACAATGCTTTGCGCACGGACCAATTTCCCCAAATCTGTGGCGGAAGATGTAAGGCGGGGCCTCTCATATGACGCACACTTGCTAGCGTGTTCCACTCTTTGTTTTCCAAATGTCAGGAAGTATTCTTGCCTCGCTTCTGAAGCAAGATGCTCGGCAGACATGTGCTACCAAGCAAGCGTACTCGCGATTGAGAAACACCCAGTGTATTGATGGTTGGAAGACACAAGGTACACTGGACCGTGATATTCTTCCCATGGTCTTGTTTAAATTCGAAGTGGTGTCGATATCGCCACGATTTAAACGCAGACTTTTGTTCCTTCATGTTTCGTGGTTATTGTTTCACTGAGAGGACCCGCAAATCTTTTTCAAACGCTCCCTCTTTGGTCCATCTGCGGCGGTAATAGGTTTTGTGCGCTGTGATGATTCGGCTGTACCTTTAGTAATGAATATTAAATGTTGTGAGGAAATCTTTCCACCAATAATTCCAATAAGTATTCCAAAATGTATTCACTTCAGGTTTACGAAAGTAACTGTAATCAGATTACTCGTTTTTCAAATGTAACGCGAGCTGAATACAGTTACTTGATTTTTGTATTCTGATTACGTAACGCCGTTACATGTATTCCGTTACAACCAACCCTGCATGTCATCAAATGTAATCAGAAACCTTATTTGAGTATCAAAATATAAAAGTAATTTAACCTGATTACTTTCTGTTACTTTTGGATTACATTTGATGAGGAAAAATAAATAAAATAATAATAAGATGTTTTTTACTGAAGTGTATGTAACAATGTAACCTTAGAAAAGAAGAATTCAAGATATTTTATAACAAACAAAAATGTAGTAACAGTAATAGTTTACCAATGTTTAAGATTAAAGGTGGGGTAGGTAAGTTTGAGAAACCGGCTCGAGATACACTTTTTGTTATATTCCATGGAATGCTCTTAACATCCCGATAGCAATGAATATCTGAAGTGCTTTGACAAAAAATCCATAAAAAAATGTAATCTGTGGAAGCAGTAGTATTGTAAAAAGCACGACCAATCATTTTAGCCGGCCCGGCTAAAATAACTGGATGGCCTACCTGCCTGTCAGCCTTCCATCTGTGCACAAACTTATCTCGTGCCCTCATTGGTCATGTGTGCGTTCGTGTGTGTTGGAGGAGGGGCTCTGTAAGGAAGTGGCAGATTTTTTACGGTTGTGTATTTTCAAATTCTAGCACACTCGAGCTGGTTTCTCCAAAATTACCTACCCCACCTTTAATACATCAAAAGCATAGACTTTATTTTTGTTTAATAAATCAGGTGTCCACCTACTGCATTAATAAAGAAATGTATTTAGAATAAAGAAGAATTAAATTAGCCTTAAAGGAGACATGTCATGGCCATTTCCACTGATCATAATTCCATTGTTGAGGTCTACTAGAATAGATTTATATTGTGACATTTTCCAAACTCACGTTGGTTTCTCATACAGCATCTCTGTAAACTACGTGTATTCACTGAATTTCACTCTCTGCCTTTAACGGCTCGTTGTAGCTCCAATAGCTCCAGCCCCCACCCTCCCTGTGAGCACAGTGTGCTCCTGATTGGTCGGGACGTTGTGAATCGCGCTGAGCTCCGTGGAGGTGTTGTTTCCTTGTTAGCGATACACAGCCAAACTCATCCTGAGCACACACAAAGTCACAGCCGAAGTAAAAACAATAAGTGTGTCTTGATATTGAGTAAGAAAAAGGTTGCTAAACGCTGTGAGAATGGGTCTGCAGAGAGAATATCACCGCGATCCCAACTGTCTGTTATCAGCCTGCAGCCAGGGAGGAGAAATCAGCAGAGCTGCCTGCACTGTGTGTGTGTGTGAGGAAGTCCGTGGATTGGTCAATTTGGACCAATCAGCGGGGGCTTAACGTAACGGCTCCGCGGACGTAACGTAACGGCTCCACGGATTGGTCCATTTCGTTCCGGGTACGGGGTTACGTCACCCGTTTACATGCATAAAAACCTTCATAACACACAAGGGGACGGGTAATAACCGGAAAAGCATGACATGTCTCCTTTAATATAAACCATAAAGAAAATGAATTCAGTACCTCTACCTATAATATATCCATCTTTATTTAAAAATATCTTGTATCACTGAAATCCTGCTAGTAATCTATATATCTTTTTAAATGGAACAGTAATCTGATTACTTGTTTTATTTAATGTAATTGTAATGGAATACACTTGCCTTCTTTTGTATCCTGATAACGTAATCTCGTTACATGTTATCCGTTAGATTCAGAACTAAGTAACAGCATGTCAGTGTATCCTGAGTTAAGGGTCTCAGGATACAGGTTAAGGGTCTCCCACCCAGCTGTACAGAACAGCTGGGTGGGAGACCCTCCTTTTGAAATGTTTAAAGTGACTGTGGTCCCTCAGGTCGTTCGAGCCCATCCTGCGCCTGCTGCCTCAGAGCATCGCCCCCGTCAGTCAGCACTGGGCCACCTGGGCCCTCTACAACCTGGTGTCAGTTTACCGTGAGTATACAATATTAATATACAGATTAGCAAATAGAATAATTGAAGTCAGTTTACTTTGATAGGCCAGCCCACATCTACCAAAATGTAAACAAAGTAAACTATTAACATTATAGGTTAGCACGTTCTACACCTCAATTGTGCTGTATACATTAAGACCCTGTAATCATTCTCACTGTCTCTTTATTTACAATTATTTCTACAGCAAGCAAGTATTGTCCCCTGCTGATAAAGGAGGGAGGAATAAGTCTTCTAGAGAAAGTTCTGGAACTGGAAAGCTCACATCCGGAGACCAAGGACATGGCCAGGTAACAGCTTTGTGTTCAAGCTGCATTTTTGTATTTGATGGAGTCCCCAGTACTCTGTCGCTTGTTGAAATGTTCTGTTTGCCAAGATCATTTCTACAGCTGATGATTCCGCCTGAGCAGCAGCCAGGAGAGATCACGAAAATGATAAGAAATATTTGGTCCAATAATTTGGTCGTGAACAGACGTCAGTCATTTACTGCAGAAATCCCAAAATGTAGAAACTCATAAAGTCACTCTCACACCTCTGCTTCAGTTGAAGTCCATGCCAAGTAAAAAGATCCATTGGTATCTTGTTGCTCGGTTCTGTCTGTTGTTCACACTCACTTTAACAATAACATGCCAAGAGGTGTAATCATGAAGTCACATTACCTGACAGGTAGCTCACTGATTGGACAGTTTTGGTGTCATTCTACATAATCAGCTCTACATAGCCTTCGAGAGGAGCTGAAGATGTGACCTGTGATTACTAATCTTCTCTGCTGTCAAAAATAACCCATCTGCTAATAACTCATTATGAGAAGTAGTTGTCAATCTCCTGCTGGACTACATGGTTCTCTAATGAGATTGCTTCTTTGATGGTTCACATCACCAAATAGTGAATCAGAAAAGTCCCAGAAAATGTTGGGAGCAGATAGACTGGATAGCATTTGTCCAGTCCCTAAAGGATGATGTATTTGAACTAAAAGATTTAGCAAAATCCCTTGGTTGTTCTGGTTTATTTTTTAGCACAAATAGGCAGAGAGCTACATACTCAAAAGCTCTCAGTCTGGATTTTTGTTCCACATCAGAGCTCACAGCTTTCTCCCCAGCCTGAGGTAAACTAAACCAGAGTTTGTGTTAGGTGAGAAAGCCTAAGCAGTACCAACACTACTCTCCGTACAGGTATAGGATGTACTGTCTAAGATTATCTTGCAACTGCTAACCTGTCAAACATTTACATTTTACAGCAAAGTAATGGAGGCGTGTGAAACCTTCAAAGAAGACCCCATGGAAACAAATAATGGACAGGAGGTCAACTTTGGACAAAGAGGTTGACCCCACAGGAGCCGTGATCCCCAGCAAACATCCAACACACCCACCTGAGGCCCCTCCCACTGTCATCATCACAAGGGTCAACTGTGTGCATTATTCATATCATTCTTATTATTGTGTGTGTGTGTGTGTGTGTGTGTGTGTGTGTGTGTGTGTGTGTGTGTGTGTGTGTGTGGTGTGTGTGTGTGTGTGTGGTGTGTGTGTGTGTGGTGTGTGTGTGTGTGTGGTGTGTGTGTGTGTGTGTGTGTGTTGTGTGTGTGTGTGTGTGTGTGTGTTGTGTGTGTGTGTGTGTGTGGTGTGTGTGTGTGTGTTGTGTGTGTGTGTGTGTGTTGGTGTGTGTGTGTGTGTGGTGTTGTGTGTGTGTGTGTGTGTGTGTGTGTGTGTGTGTGTGTGTGTGATGTGTGTGTGTGTGTGTGTGTGTGTTGTGTGTGTGTGTGTGTGTGTGTGTGTGTGTGTGTGTGTGTGTGTGTGTGTGTGTGTGTGTGTGCCTGCGCGCATCACACTGATGTGGAGGGGGGGGAGTCTTCCCATACTTTGTGGCACAACAATTGATTTGTTATATATGTAAATACTCTCAGTTTGTCTCATCCTTTTACTCTGTGTATGTTTTATAATATACTGTAAACGATCATGACTTTACTCTATATTTCAGTTTGTTTAGGTTTGACTGACATATGGTCAGTGCTAAGAAAACCGTATACAGAATACCCCCATAATTCATTCCTGGAGTCTGTTCCTTAAAGGAGGATTTAGGTTGGCATTTTACCTGATTTGTTGATTCTTCTGATTGGACGATTCTTCTTCTGATTGGATGATTCTTCTTATTGGACGCAGTAGAGTGAGGTTATTGTAGGATTCACAACAGTCCGTTAAAAAAAGATCAAAATTGCTGCAGCAGAATCACAGATATCTATTTTATACCACACATTTTTTTATTATCATGACCGAGGTTACCCACAATGCAACTCAGCTACTCAATGCTAATGTAAGACAGATCGGCTTGGGATTAGATAGCATCAGGCTACAAAGCTTGTGTCTTTCTAACACCACACCCGCATTCTTTTAATTTCTTATTCTAGTAGTCAACATTTCACAACTATGAGGACTCGAATGACATCACCTGAGTCTATCCCTCTGCAGTCACACCACATTGCAGATGTGTTTTTTACATTAAGCAGTTGTCCCCCCCCAACAAGCTCTGATGAGTACAATGAATAAAGTCTTGGCAATAAAATCACACTTTCTGCTACAGACTGTGGTCTTTTGATTCTGCTTAGTCACCACAGTCATGGTATAGCAGACTCAGTCAGAGTGGTAGTCAGATTGCATTTCACCATAGTAACGGTTCAGCTGTCTATTTCTGGTGCTTTGAGGTGAGAGAGAAGCAGGATTTATCAGTGTCACTCTCACTTTAGCCAACTGTCTTCATGCTCTTCGCATTTGGAGAATTTACCAATCTATGGTGGAAATGTCTTTAGTTAAAGAGAAACACAACATTCAGGCCTCGGATGACGATTTAAAATGAAATGGAACATAATGCAACAAGAAGTGGAAGGCCCCTCCAGATAAACGTTTTTCAACTATTGAATGTGCTTGTGGCACGTCAATGATAAACACATTGATAAACCTTTACACCTTAATAGCTCTCTTTTCAGCGGGATTCCAGATTCCAAACTTTCTGCACATCCAAATCATATCCCATATATCTGCTTTTTTAGAAAGCGGGAAAACAGTTGTAATATATCAAGATAAAATAAAGGACCTTCTCTATTCTCATAATGTGTCTGGTTCACTGTCACATCAGTGAGCTCCGAGGGCCTGAGGATGTTTCACTGTTACAGATTGCGTGATAAAGACTAACACATTTGATGAATGCATTTCCTTGCATATTTTAAAAGCTGATTCTTTTTATATATATATATATATATTTATATATATGTTTATATATATGTTTTGCACCCTGAAAAAGTTGGCTAGTTCACACACTTAGCCATTTCTGGCACATGGATTAGATTAATGCAATCACTATATGGATAAGGGGAATGGTGAGAAGGCTCAACATAAATCTAGCGCCACAGCACCCCTAGTGGTCAGCAGGGCACCGATAACAGGACCCAACTAGCTGCTTTCTTCACAGGCACCTTTAACAACATGCCACTGAGATCATTTACAGGAAGTCGTGATTTTAGGGATTTTTCTGTAAACAGCATTAAAAGTAAAAGTCGCACTTGGTTGATGAAGGCAGTATGTATATATATGTGTATATGTATATGTATATGTATATATATATATATGTATATGTATATGTATATATGTATATGTATATGTATATATATATATATATATATATGTATATATATATAACCAAGAGAAAAATAAAATGAATTGGGAGCAGCTGACCAGCAGAGAGGCTGACCTGTCATTTATATTCATCTTCATACCAGAGAGGCGTGTTAAATACACAGCGTTTTGTCAGAAGAATGGCAGACCGTTATATCCACACCAGTTCAGCGGCAACATCCTTATTATATTGGTATACATTACAAAATGTATATCTACTGATATTATATATCTTTTCTGTATCTCTTAATGCTTTAAATAACAACCAGTTCCATTTCTCATGAATCTTCTATTTCATAAAATGTGTCCAGATCCTCGAGATATTAAATTCACAGCCAGGCTTAAAGGTAGGGTAGGTTAGTTTGAGAAACCGGCTCGAGATACACTTTTTCTTATATTCCATGGAATGTTCTTAACATCCCGATAGCAATGAATATCTTAAGTGCTTTGACAACAAATCCATACAAAATGTCATCTGTGGAAGCCGTAGTACTGTAAAAAGCACGACCAATCATTTTAGCTGGCCCGGCTAAAATGACTGGATGGCCTACCTGCCTGTCAGCCTTCCATCTGTGCACAAAATTATCCCGTGCCCTCATTGGTCATGTAAGTTGACCAATGAGGGCATGTGTGTGTTGGAGGAGGGGCTCTATAGTGGCAGATTTTTTCCGGCTGTGTATTTTCAAATTCTAGCGATCTCGAGCTGGTTTCTCCAAAATTACCTACCCCACCTTTAAATAAAAGTAAAGAAACATCAGTTAATTATCAACATTCTTCTATTAAATGTCAATCAAATAGACCTGTTTTATTTATACAATTGTTTTAAAGTCAGTTCTTCATTATGTTTCCATTTGTTTTCAATCTTCAAGTATAGCATTTTTAAGATTTTAATAGAGTTTCACCTTAAAACCAGGCATTGCCAGGACTCTAGCATCATGCAGGGAATCATAATTCACCTATCCATTCAAAAGGCTTTCTAAGAGGCAGCGGGTCACTTTGCACACTGTCTCCATGTGACAGTCACACATACATAAGGATTATGTTCATGAGTGATGTTTGTTTAAGCTATTTCATATCAGCTGACCTGATGACTGGTTCTCATGTACAGTTTCTTTGTGTGATTTATAGGAATCTGTTTGGTTCTGCTCTATTTCTATCCCTTTCACAGTCATGGTGGAAATACATGTTAAATTAGGCAGTCGTGTGAAATGAAAATCTTTATATTGACTCACTTAATGTTTCTGTTTGGAATTTTGGAAATGCTTTCACATATGATCAAAACAAAGTCTGTTGTGAGTTTTTACTTCTTAAAGGTCACAATGTGTTTGAAATATCTTAGTGGAGGTGTGAGCTTCTCTCTGGAGAGAGTCTGTGATCGGTTTGACATTCTCTATCGCCTATTCTCTCTCATTTGAAGTTATTGAATGTTTCAATTTATGCTTTCCAGGAGGAGTTAAGGTCTCGAGCGTATAAGCCATGGTGAGTGACGGCAGAGAGCTACTGTTGAGGACTGTTATTTATGAAGATATGTGCTGAAAATAAAAGTGAAATACTGCTTGAGGGGAGCTGCTGTCACCAACGGTTTCATCTACTAATTTCATATTGTCGACACTCTGTTACTGATTTATTTTGTAACTGCTGTGTAATTCAAAATGGAGTGAAGAACATTTGATTGAAACATGATGGAGTTCCAGTGTTTCCCGCTCTGAATACTAGGCCATCAGTGTAAAGATATGAATAAGCAATAAAGATGGAGCAGTACAAAATTGGTTAAATCCTATGTGTTTGTTTTCCTTATTACTATAACTCCAAAACTAAACCTTCATCCCACCTACATTCACTGCCCATCCAAAACAAATAGCACACTAATATTTCGTTGGGCCGCCTTTTGCTTTGAGTTCGGCACACAGTCGTGTGTGTATTTCTGTCCAGAGTTGCATTCATTTTCTACCATTTCTTGTATCGATGATGGGAGAGTCGCACCGCTGCGCAAAGTCTTCTCCAGCACATCCCAAAGACTCAATGGGGCTGAGGTCTGGACTCTGTGGGGGCCAGTCCATGAGTGTAAACTTTAAAGGATGCATTATGTTCCCTGAACCACTCATTCACTATGTGAGCCCCCCTGGCATGTCATCTTGGAATGTGTCCATTAGAGATGGGCGAGTCCTGATTCATCCGGATCATTAACCCGGATCCTAGAAATGAGCTGGTCGTGACGAGTCTCCCCTCTCCATTAACCCGAGTCCTTGAGTCCCACACTTGGTGTGACGTACAAATTAAAACTATAAATTGCGTCACTCGCTACTCTCTTTATAACATGTAAAATCACATTACAACGTACCCCAGTCCATCTACCTACCCTTTAGCAAGTATACAGTCACAGGATAGCTGCCAGAAGTGATCGTTTGGCTCAGGGGAGGGGACGCGGATCAGTGAAACTTCCTGCAGACTCGTGGGGACTCAGAGGAGCCGACGGCTCCAACAGCAGACTCGCAGATTCGCAGATTCGCAAATCCTGACTCGCTGCAACACACAGCGGATCAGACTCGTGCGGACTCGGAGCCGTAACCGTATAGCAGCAGATCCAGAGATCCAGCAGACTCGTCGTCATGCACGAGTCCACACAGCAGACTCGGATTCGCAGATTCGCAAATCCTGACTCGCTGCAACACACAGCGGATCAGACTCGTGCGGACTCGGAGCCGTATATAGCAGCAGATCCAGAGATCCAGCAGACTCGTCCTCATGCACGAGTCAACAGCAGACTCAGATTTGCCAAATCGCAAAATAACCCTTTTTTTTGTGATCAACATTTTTTATTAAAGCAAAATACACTG